GTAAATATTAAAAATATTTTTTCACAATGTATATAATATATAATAATATAATTAACTCAAAAACTATTCAATATTGGACTCATTTCGAAGGTATTAACGARACGATTATAATGGTGTAACTTGTTAAAATAAAAAGGTATTTTTTAAACATGTTTTAGTTGATGTACGATTATGTATGTTAATTTAATAAAGATGCAAAATGAAAAGCTTAAAAGTAAAAGGTGTAAAATAAATTAATTAAATAATTACAAGGGTATAAAGTGTAATTTATAAATTATAATATTAAACAAATTGATTGAATGTGAAGAGGGGTTGAATGTGAGAGGGTTCGAATGTGAGAGGGAGGGGGTGTATAAGTGACGTAAGAGGGTGGGGGATATCAACCCCTTTTATTTTATTTGAGGGACCTAATCTAAATTCATGTACAATCATAGGGATTAAATTTGTAATTTACTCTATTATATATACAAGCGCACACATGAAGTGATGCCCATATCCACCCGCTACCATTTTATTCTCATTTTCTACACCATCGACCTTCGGCAGCCACCATCATTATCGACCTCCGGCAGCCACTACCAGTCCACCACGGCACCACCACCGACCATATACCCACCACCCGTTGCAAACAACCCGTCTTCATCACTGATGTAACCCAAACACAGGATGCAACCCATCTTCATCACCGATGCAACCCATCTTCATCCCCTCACGTTGGGGCCACTTCCATCTTCTCTCCGGTGATGATCAAGTCCTTTTGAAAACGATAACACACACTCAAACCAAATCAAAACCCTCAGGGTGGACTACCAATGGTGGAAGCGATAAGAACAGTAACATCCCCCAGATGATAGAAACTAGTGCTGGAAAACGTGGCTTCGAGAAACAAGCCGTCATGGCTAGCTTTTGGATTTTAGTTGCAAAGGGGTTCATCTATTAGGGTTAGGGTTAGGGTTAGGGTTAGGGTTAGGGTTTGATTTTGGTCATGGTCTTGGTCTTAACTTGGACTTGGATTTGGGTTCATCGAATAAGTTGGGATTAGGGGTTTGATGTTGATATCAGGGATGGATTTGGATTTGATTTGGATTTGATTTTGATTTTGACATTAGGGTTTTATTTTCATGTTGTTTGGATTTGGATCTGGCCGTAAAAGATGACCGGAAAGGGTGGGTTTGGCCGGAAAGGGGGTGTTGAAGTTTTAGTAGATGGATCGGAAGATTTTTGGGATTTTTGGTTTTCCATTAAGTAATATACAAATAAAGGTGGCCTTATGGATTAATATGTCTGTATAGACTCAGATATCTTGCTATTTGTTTGTTGTATCGAATAAAAGGTTTAAATGTAAGAAATAACTACAGTAACCCTCATTGTATGTCAAGGGTGAGTATGACATGAAATAACATAACGATGATCAATGTTCCACATTTTTGGTGGGATTTTTATGTGGAATAAAGAGGAACAAGTATGGTTAATCTTTATCTCATGGAACAAGGTGAGAGATGCTTATATTTTACCTATATAACCTCAAAGTAAAACTTAACTCTAAGGATGAGATCATTACTGAACAGATACCGAATTTTTATGGGACTATAGACTTAGACCGAAAACCAAACAGTATGTACAAATTCAGCCTCGCTTCAATTTCGGTTTCGGGACAGGAAAATCGGTACTAGGACCGAAAAAATAAGTGGGTTAAGAAACAATGAAAAGTTCATAATGTTTATGATCTTTCAAATGTGTATCTAAATCAATCGCAAACCACTTTATCTTCGACTTTGGTATTCTTATTCTCTTTCCCTTGTGATATATAAAAACTTACCTGAGTTTCATCCATGGAGGTGTCGATTTTGTTGATGGTGATAGGGTTGATTTTTTAAGGTGCTCAAAGGTTGAAATTTTTGATCGAAGGCAATAGGGCCGATTTTTGAATGATTGGTGGTGATAGTGCCGATTTTTCGATCAAAGTAATAGGGATGGAGAAGGTTTTAGAAGAATATATGGATTAGTTTAGGAGAAATATATGGTTAGTTCGGGAGAAGATAGAGATGGAATACCACATGTGACCCCATAAATTCCAGTTCGGTTCGGGGTTTTTTGGGGAAAATCTTGGTACTGAAACCGGAATACCAAATATCAAATTTGTAGTAATAATGGAACCGATAACCGAACCAATTACATGATCCGGCCCAGTTCCGGTTCGGTTCGGGAGTGCAGTCCTCAAGTCTCATCCCTTCTTAATTCTATTCTAAAACATCAAAACGTCTTCCTTTTACATTTTATTTATTTTTAAAGTTTTATTTATTGTATTTTATCTTTTTCATTTTACTGCATT